TATACAGAGGGAGAGAGAGAGAGAAATATGAGTATGCTTGGTAGTGATGTGTCACATCCCCATCCACTCACTACCCATGTGAATTTGTTCCCACATTTGAATGAGTGGAGGGGGATTTGACACCTCACTACGAAGCACAACTTTTTGTGCTTGGTACCAAGCATACCCATATTTCTCTGCCTTCACCTGCTGACAGGTAAAACACTTAGCCACATACTCCGAAATCTCCCTTCGCATACCACTGGTTCCTGGATGCACCGTGTACCGAGTGCGGTGTGCCTCATCAAATAACTCTCTCTTCAGCTCTGCACTGTCTGGCATAACCAATCTACCCTTCATCCGTAGACCTCCATCTGCTCCAATGGTCCAATCAGTCTTTGGCTCTTTGGAAATCTCCTCCTTTCGGATTTGAATCCAAGAGTCTCCCAACTAAGCTCTGACAACTCTGTCACTCCAAGATGGCTGTACTGACACAGCTCCCAAAAATGCACTGATTCCTCCAATCTCGGGTCTAAAATCAAACTGGCTAAGCGTGATAAGATCCCGATGCAATGAACACCTCAAAACTAAAATCCGATGTTGACGCTTCCTGCTTAAGGCATCTGCTACGACGTTCGCCTTCCCCGGATGTACTGAATCGTGAACTCGTAGTCCTTGATAAACTCAACCTACCTCCTCTGTCTCTGATTGAGTTCCTTCTGAGAAAAGAGGTACTTCAGACTCTGATGGTCTGTGAATAACTCAAACTGCACTCCATATAAGTAGTGCCTCCATGACTTCAGTGCAAATACTACTGCTGCTAACTCCAAGTCATGAGTGGGATAGTTCTGCTCATGCACCCTCAACTGCCTTGAGATATAAGCTACTACCCTCTGAGTCTGCATCAATACGCCTCCTAAGCCTGCCAACGATGCATCTGTATATACGACGAATGTCCTGTCGCTGCTCGGAATAGTCAAAACCGGCGTTGTAAGCAACTTAGCCTTCAATATGTCAAAGGCCTTCTGGCACTCCATGCTCCATATAAACTGTACACCCTTCTTCGTAAGGTGTGTAATCGGTGCCGAAATATTCGAGAAGTTCTGAATGAACTTCCTGTAATATCCAGCTAAACCCAAAAAGCTGCGAATCTCTGTCACCGTCTTCGGTGGCTCCCAATCAAGAACTGTCGTGACCTTTGCCGGGTCCACTACTATGCCCTCTCTACTGATGATGTGGCCAAGAAATCTGACTTCTGAAAGACAAAATTCACACTTGCTGAACTTGGCATACAACTGATGCTCCTGCAGAGTCCACAACGCTATCCATAGATGCTCCTTGTGATCTGCCTCCGATCTCGAATAAATGAGAATATCATCAATAAAAACGATCACAAACTGATCTAAGAAGGGATGAAAAACCCGGTTCATCAAGTCCATGAATACCACGGGTGCATTGGTCAACCCAAATGGCATGACCAAGAACTCAAAAGATCCATATCTAGTAAGAAAGGCGGTCTTGGGAATATCCATCTCCCGAACCCGCAACTGATGATAGCCAGAACGAAGATCAATCTTCGAGAAATACTACGCTCCCTACAACTGGTCAAACAAGTCATCAATCTAGGTAGTGGGTACCTATTCTGGATAGTGACCTTGTTCAACTCTCTATAATCTATGCAT